CCCCCCCCCCCCCCCCAATTAAAATGCATCTTAATCTACCCCATCCATGATCAAATAACACCTCCACAAATACAATCACGTCGATGATGACATTTCCGCTATCCATTTAGAATTTCAGTCATCTCTCTTCTCTCCTCTCGCCACCCCTTTCGACTTACCCACCACTGCTTCCTCGTCCCCATTTTCTACGAGTACATGAAGGATTGTAGTTTTCACTGCAAGCTCCATTTTGTCAAAACCCAAAAATCACTAACATGGTCCAATGGGTTGACGGCCCCGTATAGTTCTATATACTTCTCTAAGTTCGTTGACCCATGTGACAAATGGGCTACATTAAGATTTTTCGGAGCGATTTTATTCGAAGTCAACTTAGCAATCTGATACCTTATGATGTTGATCATCATGTCTTTTCATGTCATTTGTTTATTATGGTGGCGATGAGGCTTGCGATTGGGTACTAAGCAATCCTACGTGATGAGGTGTTAAAATTTATTAGTCAATTAAATGAATAATCACTAACTTTTATCTTTGGTTATTGCTCATTCAAAAGTAAATAATCTTTACCTTTGGTTACTACTTTCTCACCCAAAAATAAAAGGCTATTGCATCCTTACTCACATTTTACACGAGGTTACTCATTCATCATCCATCTCAATTTTATTTTTATACCATTCAATTTGTTTATATGATTTTCACGATTCAGAAGAATAGAAGAATAGAAATTTAGGAGGCGTTTTTTTAATTGATTCAGGAGAATTGATTTTAACTCACTGAGATTTAGAAAGAAGCCCGAGTGGGTGGGTGGGGGGGGGGGTGATAATCAGTAAACATTTTGTCTCTGTCCCATGAAATTTAGAATTTTTGGCTTTCTTAAAGTTGTAGAAGTCTACACTAAAAATAAATAAATAAACAATAAAGATAGATTGCAAAACTAATCAAGAAAAAAATAAGCTGATATATTACTGTTGGAGATTTTTGTATAAACCCATACAGTGAAAGTTAAACAACAATATGATAAAATATAATCGGCAATAAATTAATTGAAAGAAAATGTTTGGTGGGAATTAAAATTATATTTTTAGTGGATTATGATAGAAATTTGTGATTGAAAAATGTGGGACCCATGAAAGATGTGGTTAATAGTGATTGTTTGACTTTGACTTAAATTAAAATCAGATTTTAATCCGACTCAAAGAGGCCTGAATGTTGGCATTTAGAGAATCGCAAAACTATCTTAAAATTGTAATGATCAACCTTCGTGCGCTTACCAACAGCTTCAAGATAGAACCCTATGAAAATCATATCGATTTCTCCTTGTATGTGCTCGAGAATATGGGCAATATTTTTTTTTTTTAATTGCCCAAAATAGTAACTATATGGTAAAGATGGAATGCATGCATAGTTTATATGTACATTGCACATACCAATGTCGACTTGTACATTCACTTTATAGTATATTTGAAAATGGAATTAAAGTAGAATCAAGTGTCTCTCGTACTCCATTTTTTATAAACTGTTATAAAATTGTAAAATTATAACTTCCTCATTAATAATATTAATACCATAATCAAGTAAGAGTTACAAGTATTTAAAATTTTAATTAGGGTTACAAATAATTAACTGGCTAGTAATTTAATAATAATATACAATAATATAATTGTATTTATCTAAGTTACAATGTATTTTCAAAACTAGAAATTTAAACTCAATAGTAACGAAAAACAAAGTTTTTTTTTTGAAAGCGACAATTAGGGTGCGTTTGATTGCAATGGTGGAAAATTGGTGAAAAGAAAATGTTTTACAGGGAAAAGATTTGCCTAGAAAATATTTTGTAGGGAAAATCAATTGAAGTGTGTTTGATTGGTATAATTTTCCACCCGAAAATTTTTAAATTTTCTATTCGTTTGGCTTTGTTTTACATGGAAATTGTCCATTAAAGTGATTTTTTTTCCATAATTGGTTATAAAATTTGTTTCCATTACCAAAAAGTAAAAAAAAAAAGACTTTGCAACACTTGGAAAAACGCTGCAAAATGGCTTTTGCAGCGTTTTTTGGCCGCTGCAAAAGCCCTTTTTTGGTGTAGTGTCAATTATTTAATTATGATCAATGTACATTTGACAAATTCATTTTACTTGATTTAATAGTAAATTAAATTCATTTAAAAACTTTTTCGGTAAGTTGCATATATGGTATGTTGAATATCTAGTACGGTATGTTAGATGGAGCATGACCGAGACAATAATATGCTCCCAAAACTCTTAAATAATTCAATAAATCTTAAACTACTTTTTTTTGAACATTTACAATTTCTATACTAATAAAAATACAACAAATACAAAATTCGTGCAATGCACGTGCCAACGATTAGTAATGAAAGAAAATTTGCACTTTCTGTTACGAAATGTAACAAATTTAATCTCAACCTTTTTCGGTTATTCCCAACTTTTCAATTATGTGGGGGTTAAATCCACCAATAGTCATCCATAGTTATACTTAGTGTCATCATGATCACTAAATTTGATTTTATTTCACAATGGTTACACAACTTTATATTTAGTGTTACCATGACGGCCTGAATGTTGGCATTTAGAGAATCGCAAAACTATCTTAAAATTGTAATGATCAACCTTCGTGCACTTACCAACAGCTTCAAGATAGAACCCTATGAAAATCATATCGATTTCTCCCTGTATGTCCACGAGAATATGGGCAATATTTTTTTTTTAATTGCCCAAAATAGTAACTATATGGTAAAGATGGAATACCATGCATAGTTTATATGTACATTGCACAGACCAATGTCGACTTGTACATTCACTTGATAGTATATTTGAAAATGGAATTAAAGTAGAATCAAGTGTCTCTCGTACTCCATTTTATAAACTGTTATAAAATTGTAAAATTATAACTTCCGCATTAATAATATTAATACCATAATCAAGTAAGAGTTACAAGTATTTAACATTTTAGTGTTACAAATAATTAACTGTCTAGTAATTTAATAATAATATACAAAAATATAATTGTATTTATCTAAGTTACAATGTATTTTCAAAACTAGAAATTTAAACTCAATAGTAACGAAAAACAAAGTTTTTTTTTTTGAAAGCAACAATTAAAGTATTTTAAAACATAAGCTACAAGCCTACAACAATTAAAACGAACAAATTAGAAAGCCTGTAAATTAATCTTGATAAATAATTTATGAATAATCTCTAACGTGTTCTTTTCATACTATCCCTTTTCAATTCTTTTTTATGTATGTACCAAATTTCACCTAAAATGTACCCTCAGGTACGTATCTAAGGTATATTTGCCTCGAATTTTTTCCTAGAAACAACTCGGGCACCAACGATACCACCTTGAGGACCTCCACTTCATCCCGAATATTCTTCCTAAGCATATCGTGTTGAACTAGATCGATAAAAGGTAAGACTATTTTCTTAGGTTTCGAAATTTTTTGAAAGAATACTGGCAAGTTATTTGAGATTTTTTCATCAAATATAGGCTTGTCTGCCAAAGATTTTTATCCAATTTTGATCAACAATGTGATTGTTACAGTTAATGAGTGAGGGCCACCTTAGAGAGGAAGAGTCAAAAATGGTAGGCTGCTCTACCAAATAACGGACAAAAAATCAATGGAAATTGAGATGAAAATCTCTGGCAGACATGCTCATAAATTAGAAAGAGTCGATGCCAAGAATAAATGAATCATATGGCTAATCGTGATTATAAGAGAAGAAAGAAACTAAAAACAAATTAGAAAGCCCTTAAATAAATCTGGATAAATAAAATCTATTTTTACCAATATTTCATCTACATAAAATATGTATCTATAAATTAACACTACTCACCTCTTGGCATAGAATTAAAAAAATCAACCTATTCTTACAAAGAAAATACTCAATTCAGGTCCATTGTTCCCATCAGGGCTCAACATGTATAGAGTCTCCGAGTCTTTTGATCCCACAACACGCTCGAAATACGCCCTCATGTACGCCATTTCACCGTCCGGTCCTTCCGCCTCGGATTTCCCCGGCAACACTCCGGCCCCCATTGACACCGCCTTGAGAACTTCCATGACATTCAAATCCTCCTCGGTCGCCTCCCTCTTCACGCCATAGCCAGATTTCTTTCCATTACAATACATTGTCCATAATGGCTCCTCCAAGAGCTTCGTCTTGTCTTTTTCGGGTCGTTTTTCGGATTCGAGGGCGATCCTTACCATTCCAAGGCTCATTTCCTTTTGCAACACATAGGTTTGCATGGCTAACTCCACCACCAGTGTGGGGAGGGTCTTAGGGTTTTCTTGAATGGACAGGCTTACACGGCCTTTCCGGCATCCGAACAATGTGCCTGTGATGCGTGAGCCGGCGACGGAACGGCTGTCCGGTAATAAGCCCCCGGAGAGGGAGGGGAGTTTGCATACGGGTGTCATTATCGGAAATGATCGGAAAACATTACGAAAAACGCGAAATACCTTGGCATGTTTGCTTTTCTTCTTGGCTGATGGATGAACCAGAGACATTGACGGCGTTGGCTGCGGTGGAGGCGTTGGTGGTGAAGGTGCAGACGGTTGCGCCTCCATGCTTGAACTTGGATCCCCCATTACCTGACCTTCAGAACCAGCAATGGGAAAATGCCCATGAAAGAGAGAGATCTAGAGAAAGAAACACGTCTGGTTGTTTAATCTGAGGTTTCAAACCTGAAAAGAGCGGCGATGAATTTGGGAATATTTTTTTACAAGAATTAAAGAAAAATGGTTAATGGTTTTGAGGGTTCCATGGTTTTCTATTTTTATTTTTTCTGTTCATGTAGGAGGCTTCAGTCCCGTATCTTCGGACCTTAAATTGTGGAACTAGAAATACCAATTCATATCATATAAAAAACTATAGGGAAATTTTAATTTCAACCGCGTTACTCAATTTATTTAATTTTGATTAAATCATCGTGTTTATAACCATGATCAACAATTATCGTCAATTTCACATGACTGGACTGCGTACCAATTACTTTTGAACGTCAAATCGACTATTTTTGCCAACAAGAAGAACTCCAATTGAGTAAATTAAGAATGTCAAATTTACCTTTATATGATTCCCTTTCAATTTGTTTGGTTAGCGATTATTAATTTAGCATCTAATAAGCATTGTCACGTATCTCGTCCACCACATGGAATTGGGCTTTAGTTTTTGGCATGGTTACGGACAAAATGGTCACATTGAAAAAAATATATTAGTTGGGCGATCGAATTTGAAATTTAGAGGGAGCAATTATCATCAAATTTTCAGTAATTTTCAGACGGTTGCACGCCATGTCCAGCCGAATTCTTAAGACTTTTTATCTCATGATGGGATCCACGAGCTGGAAATAAACTGCTAGAAAATCAATTCTTTGAATAAAAATAACTATACCAGACAGGCTCTTAATAACTAACATGGAATAGACCTGCAAGTTGAAGGACTTCCAATGAAATTTTTCTGAAGATCATAAATTCTGATGAGTTGATGATGACAATTCTCTATGTTTTATTTGAGCATGTGTTAGAGCTTAAAGGTTTTCCATTTACTTGGTTAATAATTATTATTATTATTTTTTTTTGGCACTAATAGTTGCTGAACTCATACTTAATTTTAGATAATTCTATTATCTAAAAGGTCTAAGATGGTATACTGGGTGCCAGCAATGTGATTATGTTACACAAAATAAGTATTATAGTCCACAAGGAGATATTAAGTCCTGTTTGGCTCCGTTAAAAAGTAAATTTTGGGAAAAAGATTTTTTTTTTTTTTTTTGGAGATTGTGGGGTTAGAAAATAAGGAAATTTTTTTATTTTACGTGTAATATAATTTTATTGAAGAATGTGCAGTTAAAAATAGGAAATAGAGAATGTATTTTTTTTTTTAACGGAGCCCAAACAGGAGTTAATATATAGTAAGTAAATTATTGTATAAATCATAAAAGGTAATATGGGTGCATCAACTAGACAAGTAAAATGAGGGCTTTCAAAGAGAGATTTTTAACGGTAATGAATGAAAAGTAATGAATAAAAGTAACGAAAGGATAACATATCTATTACATAATTTGATATAAAAACGACACTACACTCCTTTATGTGGCATTAGGGGTGAGAAAAAAAATCGGAAAACCATGCCAAGGCCTAAGTGGCATTAAGAATATGACAATTTGTTCACGGTGCTTCTATATAGGAGAGACCGTGCATGGAAAAGGCAACACAAATTAGTCATCCAATTGATTTGCTAGCAAGCATGTGACCTTGATGATGACGTAGCAACAAGAGTTGATACATGTTCCTGGGGATATTGTACGCCAAACTCGAGGAATTTGAATCAGTGACGGGTGATGGGCAACATGGCATGGCTGCACCAATAACTGCATACTCTAAGGCACCTGACAATTGAGTTACCCTGGTGTCACGAGTAGCACATGGGCATGAAATGAGAATTTTAAAAATCTAATTTGGACATGAATTTGTTTTCTCTTCTCAACACTGAGTGAGATATTGGATTTGATAAAAAAACTGATTACATAACGGGCATCAATTTTTAAATTATCCGAGTTCCTTGATAAATAAAATGTTGGAGTTCATTACGAAGATAGTTATGACGATCCCTCTTTCTAGATGAAGAACCTAGCGTCGTGATTCTCGATGATTGGATAAAGGGTGACAAAAATCACTGTTAATTTCATAAAGATTGAAACTAAAAATATTGACAAATTAGTTTGGGGACCAAGTGTTGTATTTTCGAAACGCTCGGATCCTAACTGTAATTTACCTTGAGTTTAATATCCGGATTTCGGCCTAAGTACTTCGACCGGGCCGAGCGGCTGAACCGAGATTTCTCTAGAACTCTCTCTTTGCTTTGCATTCCGACATAACTGAATATTCCAACTATCATTCTTCACTTCCACTGTTTTTACGTCGTCCTTTAGAGAATCTACACCGTTTCGATCGCAATACAATGGCGACTGTCATGCAGAAAATCAAAGACATCGAAGATGAGGTACAGAAAAAACAATTGCAAGTTATTGAATTAAAGTTTGTATTGATTTGGCATGTCATTATTAGTTAAATTTGCATTTTTATATGTATTAGCCACAGGAATGATTGCATTCAATTCTTGTTAATATTTTCCCTTTTAGTAGAATACGATACTATAGTTCTGAAATCGAAATGAACTAATTAAATTTATAGGGAGAATGAAAAGTGTGACGGATTATAATATCTTAGTTAAACAGGGAGGAAAATGATGTGTATATCAGGTTGTTGCAAAAACGAAGCTGAAATTCAAAATTTTGCAGTTGTTGTCAAAACCTTGCATTTTGTGCGTTTATTTTTGAAAAAGAAGAAAAGATTGAAGTTCTATTCTAGTGATATGGTCAGCAGCTGAATATATTTGAATAGGGTATCGGAACTGGATAATTGAGCTTAAGCTATTTTGTTATGCTATTTCTGGATGCATATTTGGATATTTACGTCTTTAAATTTGAAATTTTACTTGTTTGAAACTGAATAATTTGGGCAATTTTTTGAACTTTTTCTTTCTCTGTTCAGATGGCGAGGACTCAGAAGAATAAAGCAACTGCCCATCATCTGGGCCTGCTGAAGGTACATTTCGACGCAATAGTCACTTAATTGTCAAAGGAAATTTTCTAGGATTGAGATATTTGTGTTACTCAAAGTTAATTACATATGGACTCTAATAACCCATTGTTGTTATAAAGGCGAAGACTTATTTCATGTAAAGTGAGAGTTTGTGTAGTTAATGCAGTGTTGTGAATTTTCAGGAGCACATGATGAATCAAAGAATACATTTTGGAAGCATATTCTTGTCATATACTATTTTTCCTAGAAGGCAGATTTATATGCATTAAGTTATTGAATTTGCCAACTGCAATTCATTCAAGTGCAGGAAATGTGAACTGAAGACTGGCAAGTAATTTGAATCTAAGGATATGTTATTTTCATATATGATGGGAACAAAAATCTTCTGTGTTTGTACTAGTTGTCATATGGGACGTAGTTGTCGTTTACCTGTTGCTTTTAATGATAAGAAATATGTCTTAATGTTGCTAAATAACTGTGAACTGAATCTGCATAACAAAGAACTCCAATTTAAGCCCCTGTTTGGTGTTCCTATGCAGCAGATTTAAGTCCCTATTTGATTCCTGAATGCTGAAATTAAAAGAAAAAAAAATGAAGCCTACAAATCAAACCCTTTTTGTAGTTTGTCTAGCATAGCTCTACAATTCATTCAATTACCACATATTCCTTCAACAAGCATGTCAAAAGACCGAGTAGCCCCTCCCGAATTATGTCAGATTCTTTCTCAGATTTGCAGATTTGAATTTCAACAAAAGGAAAAATAGATTTTAAAAAAGAAGGCCACAAATTGATGCAAACTTTTGTTTTTTTGGGGTCAGTCAATGCCTGCCACAATAAATTTAAAAACTAAAAGGGACCCCACGGCGAGAAAATAGAATTCCTTTACAAAAAAGAAAAAAAAAAGAAAAACGATGATGTTATCATTTTAGTTATGGACGAACATCTATTGGTGGAGAGAATTGATTTTTTGCAACAAAATAGGGACCAGACATAGGCTACATTCCAAATACAATGTTAGATAAGGGGTGGCTCAGGATACTCCTGAGCAGCTCCTGACTTCCATTAGGACATTCTTTTGTTTTAGTCATGAGACTTATTTCTAGAAATGTGCATTTGTGGAAACCAAATCTTCAGCTTTTACATGGCCCTCTTTTGCTGCACTAAGATATCAAAGGCATTCTATTTAATTGATTGAAGTTTTACATGTTCATATTCGGTAACTAGTTTATGACCATTGGATGTGCAGAATAATTTAATTTGGTCGCTGTTACGATAGATATAGTTTGTCCATATACTGACAGTGATATATATGCACATGCATGTATTTATGCATCTGTACATAAAATAATTTTTAGTACCGGCATTCGTAACTATGAATTTGGTGAACTTGTTATAGCAGATACAAATTATATTCTCGCTATGTGGCACTGATTTCTTCTCTCATCAGCAATTGCTTATTTGGTTTTAGGCTAAACTCGCAAAACTTCGAAGGGAGCTTCTTGCACCGTCATCGAAGGGAGGTGGTGGTGCTGGAGAAGGTTTTGATGTTACAAAAAGTGGAGATGCGAGAGTCGGTCTTGTAGGTTTCCCATCCGTTGGGAAATCAACCCTTTTAAACAAATTAACTGGCACTTTTTCAGAGGTTGGTAATACTAAGTGTTCTCGGGTTTTTCCCTGTTGCTTTATTGGACATTGAAAGAAAATCACCTTTTCTTCATGTCTTTGTGACTTCTAGGATCATATTCCTCATTTTCTAGGCCACACTTCTTGTCTAGTGAAACCTAAATTTTACATATAACTTTTGGTATTGGGTGGGGATAAAAAGAAGAGGTGGCAGAGCAGTAATTTTAAATGAATAAGATGGCTCCAAGAAATATAAAAAGGGTTTCATAAAGCAAAAATACTAGAGTTATTGACATGTAAGTGTGACTCTATGAAACTTCGCATCCTGTTATTGGTATTTTGTATGTAGGATCAATGGTTCTTGCCCTTGCTAAGTCTCTTTTTATCTGTCACTTGCTTATATGTCTTCTGAAGGCAGCACTCACACATTGCTAAAGCTTCAAATGTGCTTTCCTCACAACCTTTCCTTTATGTGTTTTGTAGGTTGCTTCATACGAGTTTACCACCTTAACTTGCATTCCAGGTGTAATCATGTATCGAGGAGCAAAAATTCAGGTATTATTTTCTGCCATAGATAATTAATGTGTTGTCATTGTCGCTAATATAAAAGCTAGTTATTATTGCAATTCATAATTTGTCTCATTCCGAAGGGCTATCTATATGTTGTTCCACAGAGTAAATTTCAGATGCATTTTAGACAAAAACTGCCAGTTCTGTGAACAACTATGTTTTGTTCTACCTTATTGGCTTTCGCTTCATTTAAAGTGCCTGAATTAAGAAAACATTTGATAGGCTTCCTTTGTCCTTTAGAATTGTTATAGATGCAATATATGATACAGCATGGATCCTGCAACCATCTTTTTAGTTTAAACTGTGATGCCTGTTTGTGAAAATAAGGCTACCAAATAAATGGAAGTTTAATTTGTTTCTTACAGAAAATAGTTTTATTATAACTTCAAGGATGAAGAGCAGTGGTTCCAGATTGGTTGACACAATTATGTATAAAATGTAAATTCCTCTCTTCCATCTGATCCCAAAGGCCTACTTCCATCCTGTTTCGATGGGTGGCCGATTATTTTGTTTACACTGATTTCATTATTGATTTATGCACATAACAATCGTTAAATTATAATAGAAGAGAGAAAGAGGGGAAGAAGGAAAGAGAGGAAACAGAAAGGTTTGGGAGCTAAGAGGCAAGGAACGGACACGCCGACATGTATTATAAAAAAGGAAAATGGACACAAGGGGAACACGTTAACTTAAATTATTTAAATAAAATTGTACTATATAATATCTTTATTTCTATACTTGTCATTGTTTAATAGAATCAAAACTTTTCTAGTTTTGATTTTTGTTGTTAAAATCTGATGAGCAACTATCTTCTTAAAAATAATGGCACACCACGTTGTGTGTGAGACACGACTTGCAGTATTCAAGGAGTGTTGGTGACCAAGAGGAAATGACGCGACACATTTTGGATTGTCTGTCCTAGTAGAAGTGTCCGTGGTAGTTGGGGAAGATCAGAGAGAGATTGAATTGTATTTCATCACTAGAAGTTGTTTCTAAAATAAAGCATATCCTTGTTCATATGAGGGTTCAACCTGACCTGATTTAAGTAGAAAGAATTTTAGGAAATACAATCCTAAAATTGAGTCAAAATATAAAATGGCAAGAAAATTCAATAAATTTTACATCTAATTCAATCTAACTCCGATACGCCTTAATTTTGCATCAGCTATATTCTGGCTTTTTGTCAGCTAGCAGCATGTGTTTTGAAAAACTATTGAGGCATGCCTTCTTTACATGACTTGGATGTTAGAAATTATAAATTAATTTTTATTCCGTAAAGATTTTTGAAATTATTTACGTTATCTGTTTTATCTTCTAAAGAAGTTAAGTTTAAGCTTATGTAAAAATGAACGAGGAATTTAGAATGGCTGCTGAGGCTTGAGAGAATATAGGGGTTCAAAAATTCTAGTTACGAAGAAGATTATATTTATTAAAAAATCAGCCAGCAGCAGGTGTAGAGTTGATGGCTCATTGAATTTCTGTTTCCATATTGGTCATCGATGATAATATGGATGTTTGAATAAAAGACAAAGTTCGGAAAGTTCTATTGGCATTTTAAGAATGATTTATGAACCATACAATTTTGAGCAAGTGAATTCTATGTTCTTATGTTCTTTTTTGGGTTGTACAACTTACTCTCAAGGAAGCAACTATCGTTCCTTTAAATTTTCTTTGCTTCTTATATGTGCTTCCTTTTTTTAATTTTTCATGGCATAACAAGGTTTATCACCTTTTCAAATGGATAGGAAACTGACCCATATGATAACTGCGTGAATGTTGTGGAAGATTATGTTCCAGCGCCAGCTGCCTCACCATTTTCAATCTGTGAATTGAAAGCCTTTTGCCTTTTTGTACTTATTATTGAATATCATTTTTGTTCTTTTTGGCAGTTATTGGATCTTCCTGGTATTATCGAGGGTGCTAAAGATGGAAAGGGTAGAGGTAGACAGGTAAGGCATTTTTTCTGATCACTTGTTTTCTTGGTTGTTTTAACCCCATCCCCCTCTTTTTCCCCTCATCAGTTTTTCTTCATTCCATGACTCTATCTGGTCTTAATTCAGGTCATCAGTACTGCTCGCACGTGTAACTGTATTCTTATCGTTTTGGATGCAATAAAGCCAATTACTGACAAACGGCTCATTGAGAAAGAGCTTGAGGGATTTGGTATAAGGTAACATCTTTGCTGTGCTATATATACCTTATCTTGTTGTTCATCTGGTCAAATATCCTCCTCATGCTTTAATGATGGTTTCTGCCAATCTATATATTTTCTTCATCTGCTGTTTGATTATAAATAGATAGTTTTTCTTGAATAACCTGAATCCTCAAAGAACATGCTGCAGGATGCTTTCTACTTTGCAATTTCCGTGTTTCATAATGATAATTTGTGGTAGATATGTTCAAGCATGCGTAGAATGCGATCTTGTAAGCTGTCTTATCATATTGAGATATTATTGTGTAGAGTCATATTCTTAGGATACAACTGAACTAAATGTGTCTTTTCCCAGAAATAGACTGGAAAGAACATTGGAGTATGACAGCATGGTTAGGGAAGCAACATATTGCATAGTAGAATTATGCCAGCTTGCTTAACATGGAGTATTGTGTATATACTAATTGTGTACTAGGGAATGTAGCACATTGAATTAGGTAGAAGCCAGACACTGTCAGCTAGCTTAGCATGGTAGTGCTTAAACACTGATTGCGAAGTACTAGGAAAAGTAGTATATCGGCTTGCAGAAGGTTGCCAGCTTGCTTAAAAATTCCGACAATGTGGTCCCCATCCCCATTGTGAGTAGTAGGTAAAAGATTCGGTAAAAAAACTCGGTACATGTAGCATGATCTATATTTTATATTAAGTATACTTGTGTGGCTCTTTGGGTTCGTGTCTAAAATTAGAGTTGTTCTATTTTTCCCTTTGTCCCTACATCAAAATGATCGAATATTTTCATTCCTTCTTGCACTGAGATTAGACTGAACAAGGAACCACCAAATCTGACATTTCGGAAGAAAGATAAGGGTGGGATCAATCTTACATCAACAGTTGCCAACACTCAACTGGATCTTGATACGGTGAAAGCAATATGCAGCGAATACAGGATACACAATGCTGATATTCATCTTAGGTATGATGCAACTGCTGATGACCTCATAGATGTCATCGAGGGCAGTAGGGTATATATACCTTGCATCCATGTTGTCAATAAGATTGATCAGATTACACTTGAAGAGCTGGAGATTCTGGACAAACTTCCACACTATTGCCCAGTCAGGTATTATTAGCTTCGTTTTGTTTTGTCAACAATATTATATTGGTTTCATTCGAGAACTTTTTCAATTGGACAATAATCTTAATCGTATTTATAGAATCAAAATAGTAAAATTACACTTCAAATCAGATTCATATGTTGCACGCATTGTTTGCAATCCTAATCTATTGATATTTGTTTGCTTACGGCTACAAACCCTCTAGCTATCTACGAACCAGAAATTTTTATTATCTTTTTCAGTATATTAGTACTTTTGGGATCACCTTTTTGTTTTTTTCTAACCGACAATTAAGCTTCTGTTACAACTCTATTCTTCTTTCTTGTCTTCTTTTCAAGGAGAAGTGGTTAACTTTGTGTTGAAGCTTCTTGAATTTGTTCATATGGTGAATAGACAAATTCTGGGTCTCTCTCTCCACCTCTACCTCTCTCTCTCCCTCTCCCTCCCTCCACAATATGAAAAAATGCGGTCTGTGCTTGTACTATGCAGAGTTGAATAAGCAGCTTACCTTCTTTCCCTTCATGCGAAAAGTGATTTGGTGGAAGAAATTTCATTAATCACAAGCCCGTGAAATCTTCCAACCCGTTGGTGTTATTCTATCTGCATTGTGCTTATGTCTAGACAATTAAAAGATTTTCAGCTAAGACAAGTTGATTTTTTCAAGTTATTAGCATAGTTGTAAATTTGAAAATCCTAAGTTCACACCATCTGGATATAGGCCTTACTTATCAAAAATGTATGAGCCAATGATAACATAGATAAGGCTGTTCTATAAATCAGTAAATCTCTGTGCTGTTTCTCTTTATTAGAAAAATATACTAGCTGAAGATCTCGTTGTTCCTTTATGTTTAATGTAATGATTTGTTTCTTATTATGATTTGCAACAAATTAATAAAGTGCTCATCTAGAATGGAACCTCGACGGTCTGCTGGAGAAAATATGGGAATATCTAAATTTAACTCGCATATACACAAAGCCCAAGGGGATGAACCCAGACTACAATGATCCTGTAATATTGTCATCAAAGAAGAGGACAGTTGAGGACTTCTGCAACCACATCCACAAGGACATGGTTAAACAATTTAAATAGTGAGTCTCTCTTCCCAATTTCCTTGTTTCTGAAGCTTTCGATTGTTCATTAGTTTCTCTTTATTGCCACTACTTTGTTTGAAATTTTCTGTATTCTCTGGAATATGTTTTTGGGATATCTGAAATAACTGTGATAAATGATTTCATAAAATATTTTAGTTATCTGATTATCAACACTTCCTTTACTCTTAAACTGACTCGTTGTTTTGTTGAATGATTTAGTGCATTAGTTTGGGGTTCAAGCGTGAAACACAAGCCCCAGAGGGTGGGCAAGGTAACTATACGAACTTCTGAAAAATGGGGGCCTCCCAAGTTGTTCATATTATATCTGTTGCTGAGTGATTAATGATTCACCTTGCTATTTACCAGGAACACGAATTGGAAGACGAAGATGTTGTACAAATCATTAAAAAGGTGTAGAAGTAAAAGTTGAGGAAAAACATTGCGACATGATGCATGGATGGTATTTCTGGCCTAGAAGTTTTTCACTTGTGCTTGGCTTTGTTGTAAGTTACAGTGTGTCGTCTCCTGTGTCTGGGCTTAAGCTATAGGTTGTATATAGAGTTAAATAGAGGTCACGGGGCTAGAAGTGAATTATGAGTTGGGCCAATCTGTGTATTGACGTGCAATTAACCCATTTTATGTAAGATGAGGGATATGATTTTATTTAAGAATAATGAAAGAGATCAACCACTGAATTTTGTTCTGTGTACCTATGTCGATGGATACTCTTTTAACATTTCACAAGTATGGAATATCCTTTTTCTCTTTATTAAAGCCAATTGCATTTATTTATATTTATATTTTCAAAATGGTCTTTTGACTTGCAGATCGTATTCAATTTTTATGAAGATTAGCTGCATTCAGGGGCGGACCCAGGGGGCACGTGACGCCCAAAACTTTTGGAATTTTTTTTTTTTTTTAATAAAGTCATGCTTGGTATCGAATGAAATTTAAATTATAATTTAAATTAAAGTTAACAATTCATTTTAATAACATATTTCATGGAATTCATAACTATTTAACTTTTATCAAAATTTACTATAAATTTGATTTTAATCTTTACAAAATATGAGTAAAATCACAATAAATTTGAATTTTCATAACATGTTAATTTTAAAAATTCTCCAACAATCGTACGCTAATCGAATATACAAATTGCTTATGTCATCTTAAAACTTATTTCGAGAATTACATTATAGACATATCGAATAGTCCAAATAAATATCGAAAATAGTTACAAATACGTTAAACGTGAGTCTTAAAAAAAGACGGCTAACTCCCATTTTTTAAAAAAAAAAATTCAATTATTTCACTAACATTTATTGTTTTTTCAACACAAATTTCTCAATGTGGAAAATTTTATATGAAATATGACATCAAAAAATATCGAAATTTTATTTTACATCCAAAAAAGTCATATCCCATATAAATTTTCGAATGCAAAATTACATGAGGTATGATTTTTTTGGACGTAAATTTTCGATTGTAAAATTTCTCCCAACTTCTTTGCAATTCGATTATACTCCCTAACTTTACATTATTTGTCACGTAACGCGTCTAATTTTTGACATCAGTCCAAGTCGAGAAGTAACATTTAGCTTCATTAAATAAGTGCTATTTTCCCTTTTTAACTTTTTGACGTCCTTTTCTTTCTCCCATTTAGCGTGGACCACGCTTTTAAACAAACGTAGAAATAAAGTAATTAATGTAATTATTGGTTTATTCATTTTTTATGAAGATTAGATGTCTCACTATTATTTTACTTTATATTAATGAGAAAACATGATTCACTTCAAAGAGGTTTTGACTTGTATGAGTTCCCTAATTCTTGTTCAACTATGATTGAAAATATCACATAAATGTCACATCACTAGGTGTGCTTTTCACCACTTTTCTTTCATGGTTAACCTATGTATAAAGTAGATAATACTTAGGTCCATACCTATGGCTTTTACTACTTTGCAACTTTTATATCATCTTCTATTAATCGAAGTGCTCAAATACTTCACCTTTCTTTACCAGTCTCTCTTGCGTATATAAGAATTATCTTTACAAATTTATCATCAAGCTCAAAAAATGTACCATTGAACTTTCTACGCGTGCAAGAAATTTCAAAAGTCCATATAAACGAGGCAGACAAGAATTTGAAGCAAGACAAGTTTGGATAATTATTTATACGAAACCTGAAAACAGCTAAATAATCCCTATTTTTTGGGGTAACAATTGATCAAAACAAGGAAATGTCGACTTGAAATTACAGAATGCGACTTAACTCCATATGCATTCAGGGGCGGACCCAGGGGGGCACGTGACGCCCAAAACTTTTGGAATTTTTTTTTTTAATAAAGTCATGCTTGATATCGAATGAAATTTTAATTTTAATTTAAATTAAAGTTAACAATTAATTTTAATAACATATTTCATAGAATTCATAACTATTTAACTTTTATCAAAATTTACTATAAATTTGATTTTAATCTCTACAAAATATGGGTAAAATCACAATAAATTTGAATTTTTATAACATGTTAATTTTAAAAATTCTCCAACAATCGTACGCTAATCGAATATACAAATTGCTTATGTTATCTTAAAACTTATTTCGAGAACAACCAAACAGGAGAAAAATCACAATAAATTTAAATTTCGATAACATACTAATTTTAAAAATTCTCCGACGATCGTACGCTAATCGAATCTACAAATTGCTTATGTCATCTCAAAACTTATTTCGAGAACTACATTATGGACATATCGAATAGTCTAAATAGATATCTAAAATAGTTATAAATACGTTAAACGTGAGTCTTAAATAAAGACGTCTAACTCGCATTTTTTTTAAAAAAAATTCAATTATTTCACTAACATTTATTGTTTTTTCGATACAAATTTCTCAATGTGGAAAATTTTATATGAAATATAACATAAAAAAATATTGAAATTGTATTTTACATCCAAAAAAGTCATATCCCATATAAATTTTCGGATGCAAAATTACATAGGGTATGATTTTTTTGAACGTAAATTTTCGATCGTAAAATTTCTCGTAACTTCTTTGCAAGTTCGATTGTATTCCCTAACGTTACATTATTTGTCACGTAATGCGTCTAATGTTTGACATCAGTCCAAGTCAAGTTGAGATGTTATTCTAATTTTTGACATCAGTCCAAGTCGAGAAGTAACATTTAGCTTCATTAAATAGTGCTATTTTCCCTTTTTAACTTTTTGACGTCCTTTTCTTTCTCCCATTTCACTTTGTTTGAACATAGCGTGGACCACGCTTTTAAACAAACGTAGAAATAAAGTAATTAATGTAATTATTGGTTTATTCATTTTTTATGAAGAGGTTTTGACTTGTACGAGTTCCCTAATTCGTGTTCAAGTATGATTGAAAATATCACATAAATGTTACATCACTAGGTGTGCTTTCCGCCACTTTTCTTTCATGGTTAACCTTTGTATAAAGTAGATAATACTTAGGTCCGTACGTTCAACAACGAATGAGCTTACAAATCATGCTACGTCGAAGCAGACCAGCGAGGGACGAGACAAAAATCAAACATGGCGTCAACTAGGTCAAACGGACTAACAAAAGCTTAATAAGCGACTGTTACAAGCACGCCGACGAGAAAAGATAGTAGTATACCAAATTTTAACATGCCAAATGCCATACCTATGGCTTACCACTTTGCAACTTTTATATCATCTTCTATTAATCGAAGTGCTCAAATACTTCACCTTTCTTTACCAGTCTCTCTCTTGCGTATATAAGAATTATCTTTACAGATTTATCATCAAGCTCAAAAAATGTACCATTGAACTTTCTACACGTGCAAGAAATTCCACAAGTCCATATAAACGAGGGAGACAAGAATTTGAAGCAAGACAAGTTTGGATAATTATTTATACGAAACCTGAAAACAGCCAAAAAATCCCTATTTTTTGGGGTAATAATTGATCAAAACAAGGAAAGGTCGACTTGACATTACAGAATGCGACTTAACTCCATCAAAATCAGGCCTTCACACAGCAGTTGAAGCAGCTCAAAATGCTCTTCCTGGCCTGTGACACACAATAGCAGAGAATTAACGATAAAATCTTATCACAATCGGTCTGTAAAACTGAGACGAGCTTCAGAAATTACTTAAATGGAAAATCATAGGCAACAGTAAAAAATGCTGGTCAGTATATTGATTTTGTAAGCTGAAGTAAGAGCTTTTCTTGTTAAAAATACACGACAGCCAACCATAGAGAAGACAATAAAGAAAGAAATAGTTTGAGTAGTGTTGACAATATTAGCTCAACTGCTGAGAAAAAAAAAATGAACTTTCAGAAAATTTCTTCCACTTCAAACGGGAATCTATGTGGGACACTCATGATTTTTTCAAATTTAAAGAAGGCTGACTACGCAAAAGTAAGCAGCATCATGATTCTATATCATATGGCTTAAATTATTCATTGCATGTGCACCACCTGTATATGCATGTGGACCTGGAAGTAAGATTATCTCAAATTTACGCTAGTACAAGTCATTTTCACATTTCATGTGCTAAGGTACTAAACCAATAATTACATTAATTCAGCAACACATGATAAAATCATCTGCAAGCCCCCCACTAAGATCAAGAAAATCATTTATGAACCTCATCCAACCTAATAGCACTTGGCCGTAAGGCACTAAATGATTTTTAATTCACGCTTCCAAAGACACGAGATAACAAACTTAAGTTTCATACCTAGTCCAAAAAGTTTGCTTTGTTGTAATTTTCATTTGAACCAACAGAATAAACTTGAGCACATGGCACTGCTGTACTTGTTCGTCTTAAGTTGGGGTTGAGCCAAAATCGGCATTTCACATGCTGGTAACTAATCAGAATATTTCACTATCCAACACAGGGCTCCATTACAAACAGTTCTGTTTGCCACCTACCCGCTAGCCTGTTAATACACTCACTGAAAACAAGTAAACAACTAAGTTTCAGTCTCCCACCCAATAGTCCTAACCACATATAGTCCACTATATACCTTTAGCTACTGTCCTAATTAATAACTACCGACTACTTTCAAAATGTAGTATTTCAATACAGTATCAGATCCCAATGACTCATAGTTAATCCTGTCTTCATTAAAATATAAACATAGTTAAAAGAAAGCGTACTAAAGATAGCTGAAGAACTCACTGTTGGAGAGTGATTTTGATCATAGTCGTGATGATCATCAACAGGGGCAGTTTTTGTAGTTCGAGTAGTTGAAGAGATGAGCTCTTCCTCATTTCCAAGACTGGCTCTTGATGGATCCCTCTTGTTTTGCTTTCTCATTTCTCTGATTTTTGAAAAATCCACGGAGTAGTCGGGCAACGGACCCTTTTGGTCCCATTCCCCAAATTGTGGAACAGATAACCATGGTTCATTCCTCTATACAAGAAAAAATTAGGATTAATTGACACTTTGAAAGTCTATGATCCTTTCTTTACTGGGGAACGGTAAAACATAGATATGCACTTGGCAATCCAACATTATAACAACACAAACAAAATAAGCCTTATTTCCATTAATTTTGGAGTTTTGTTTCTCGTCATTTACTTTCCAATAGCCTCCAGAATTAGAAAGAAAAAGAGAAGGCAGAAAATGATAATGTCATAGCAGTTTTTATCCTCGGTCCACTTGAACAATCTCTCATATTAAATGGTGGATCATACACAAACAAGAACTACTTATCAAAAATGGGTGCAAGAATTTTTTTATTTATTTTTAAATCTGGTTTAAATATTCTAGGACTCATTTCCAATGTTATCCTGTAAACAACTTTTGCATTTTCAAAGTAAGCTTGCATAAAAGTGACAGTTCTCATAAGCTGAATGTTTTTCAAAGAAACCAGTCCCTTATCAAAGCAAGATAGCAAAACAATCTTCTATTCACACAAATTAAACATCAAATTAATACCCTTTTTTCTTCTTTTTTTGATGGTCGATATTGGAAAAGTTGTGCTACTGACCAAAGAAAGTCAAAATTTGACTAACTAAGATGTGAAATCCCTTATAATCAAGTAAAAATTCAATTTCATCAAAGCCTGATAATTTCAGGGACAGCAGTTACATTCAAGAATAACACATGCCTACTGACGTTATCAAGAACTGAATTATGTTAAACATCTTCAAGATTATGAAAACAAACATATGGATACAAAAATATGTGGACAACTAAAACAAATATCAAGATAAAGAAAAAAAACACACACAAAAGCAAGGCAAGAGAAAGAAAGAAAATTTAATTTTGATTACTTTCTGTAGGGAGTCATAGTATAATTGATCTAGCAGAAACTCCACAAAACATTCGTTTGGCATCTTCACAAGTTCCCATATCAAAAAAAAAACCCAGAAAATTCAGAATAGACATTCAAGGCCATGTTCAATCAGTAGTATTGAACTCGGGAAACAAGATTTTAACTCCTATTTCTTCAATAATATTATCTTGTCTAATCTAATTTACCCAAAGTATCACAAGGATAATTCAAGAATGCAAACTACAAACATAGAGAGGGATAACTTTTTACCTCCTTGCGATCTTCCATATAGTTTCAGTAAAAAAATCTTGGATTTTCTTGAATATACAGACCCTTTTTTTCTCCAAAGAAATGCACTCTGAACGCTGAAGTGATAATTTTATTTGTTCAAAAATGCTGAAATGAGTAAATATAGGCAGAGAGAGGGGGGAGAGAAGCTTTACACTGTACACTTCTACGAGGGTTTCCAATGGTATGGACCGTGTGGTTACCTGTGTCCTAATTACAAATTCTACACGCACGTATTGGACTCCATGTGTTGATCGCTGTTTTTGTGTGCGTGACAGAATATTTATGTCCATGAGATAAGAAGTGCCACCAGAATTCCACACGGTATTGGGTTTTCAGCACTACTGGCAATGCACTTACTTTATTAGGAAAGAGGGCTTGACGTGGGGTAGGGTTAATTACGACTTTCGACCTATTGTCTCAATTTGTTGTCCACCATGTTAAAGTACCATAATCAAGTCAATGCTGCTTGACTCGACTACCTTGTACTCAGATCGACCTATTATTCAAGTTAGCTCGCTTTGTCAAATTTAGGTTTGACTAACCCCATTAACTTGCAAGTCGTTCACAATTCATCCACTTTTTTTGTGACCAGTTTGCACGCTAGCCAACTTGAACGAGCTGCCGACTTTAATATTAATTTTTTATATTTAAATTTCCTATGAAAAATGAGAGTTATCAAAATAGCAAAATGAAGAGTAAAACTTAAAAACTAATATTTTTTCCTAACGAAAAAAAAAAACTAAATCAAAATCTATCTCTTAAATTTACACATAAACTAAGTGCATATTTTAAATTGGATAATTCTATTTGTACATAAAAAATTGTATATAAGGGTGTATGCTCCCTTCACGTGAGGTGTGACCCACTTGTATAAAATATTTTTTTATTCAAGCGGGCCCCACTCCCATGTGAGAGGGTGTACACCCCTATGTACATGTTGATGTACCGGTAGCAAAACGGTTTTAAATTACACTCTCCATAATTATGTTTTCCCCTTAGGTTTTAAATTTTAATTTGTTTATGGGCTTAACAGTATTATATAAATAAATGACCTTTATTGGAGGTACATCCAAATGTACCTCCAATAAAGTGTTTAAATCTTAATGTCTAAAATAATTAGAATGGCATAAGTTAATTTTTAATATTATTTACCAAATCCACTGATAAGAGGGACATTCTGCTATGAACTATGCTACTTGTACAATGAATTTGACAATAAGTTTGACAATGTGTGAGTTGGCAGACATTATGTCCATTGATTTGAAAGATTGTTTTTGAATTCAATGGCAATGATCTATACACCTCACACATTGTCAAAATCATTATGAAACCATGTTAAAGTACCATAATCAAGTTAATGCTGCTTGACTCGACTACCTTGTACTCAGTTCAATCTATTATTCAAGTTAGCTCGCTTTGTCAAATTTAGGTTTGACTAACCCTATAACTTGCGAGTCGTTCACAATTCATCCACTTTTTTTGTGACCAGTTTGCACGCTAGCCAACTTGAACGAGCTGCCGACTTTAATATTAATTTTTTATATTTAAATTTCCTACCAAAAATGAGAGTTATCAAAATAACAAAATGAAGAGTAAAACTTAAAAACTAATATTTTTTTCCTAATGAAAAAAAAAAAAAAAAAAAACTAAATCAAAATCTATCTCTTACATTTACACATAAACTAAGTGCATATTTTAAATATAATTATGTTTTCCCCTTAGGTTTTAAATTTTAATTTGTTTATGGGCACTTATATAATACTTTTAACAGTATTATATAAATAAATGACCTAAAGTGTTTAAATCTTAATATGTCTAAAATAATTAGAATGGCATAAGTTAATTTTTAATATTATTTACCAAATTCATGTTGGTGTTATAGTGAAAATTAAGGCATCTACTTATTTATATTTGGAAAATTAAAATGGATTAATTAGTTTTAATATTGGGTAATTACCGTACTTTTTGTTAATTGTACAACATTTTAATTGGAATGAATGTCCCAAACTTTTGCTCACTTTAGTACTTATGTCCACTTTTTTGGTCTTATTTTCCTCAAACTCTATTAACGAGCACTATCATCCCTGATGACGATCATAAATTTATCATTTGTCCCTCATATTTTTTAATAAACAAGATAAAATACAAATATAAAAGTTCGACAAAATATTTTCCTTATGCTAACAAAATATTTGGATAGAAAATATTCTCAGAAACAAGATGTACAAAATATTTTCCGTTCTCTTTCTTTCTTTTTTTTGAAAATATAAGTGCAGAAATGAGCAAAAATTAAGAAGATTTATTGCAATTAAAATATGGTGCAACTAACGAAAATTGTAGTGTGAATCTAATTACCTTCTAATAATTTGGAAAATACAGGCAAATCTATTGGACTTTCAATTTCAAATTTCACAATATAAGGAATTTGTTGCATAAGATTAATTGAATTGATTTTAATTTAGATAACAATTCAAAAAAATAAGGAGTCTCTCAATGTTCAATACATTTCTATTTATGTTATCGTTCAATGGTAATTGATAAATTTCATTTAGTCCATATTTGATTTAGATCAAAATTAACTTTTGAGTAAATTTTGATAAAAATTGATTAAAAGAGTTATTGAAAAGTTAATAAAAGTTGTGAATTTCATGAAATGTATGGTTAAAATATGAGCTTATTTTCACTGATCAATTTTCTTCAAAATTTTCAGTTTTGGACTAATTTATGTATAATTTACCCTCAAATATGTGATATATCGAGGCACAGCTCAAGTTTTGTTTTCAAAAGTAGCGCAGATTAAGTTTTAAGATGAAATATACAATTTTTTAAAAGCTTGTATTTTATACTATTAAAGTCAAGATTTTAAGAATTAGTACTCACGAGAACAAACATTTTTTTCCGGGAAGCGGAACCAAATAGAACTGCTAAACTGGTCGGTTTGGTTCTAATTCCTTTATTAAATGGGTCGATTTTGGAACTATGCATCGCTAATTTGGATCTTGTTCTCCGTGTTACCTTGAGAATCAAAAGTGAATTTGGTTTTCTCAAATTTTTTTTTTCTTTTTGGTTCATTCCAAAGAGAATATACCAGATATTTTAACACTAGATTCCAAAATTATCTCAAACCAAAATTCCATTTTCTATATGATTCTTCTTCTTTCCTTTGCGGCAAAACCCTAATGGATAATCAAAATCCAAATGCAAACCCCAACAAGTAAAAAGAATATACATCGTTCAATCTTACAATTTACAACTGGTTTCATACTCTATTTTTATTAATTTTCACTATAAAGAATCGGACCGGATCGAACTAGAATTTGTTGGTTCGCTAGATATGGAACTAATTGTTCCATTTGTAAGAATCTCATTGATACTCGGTTCGATTTGATTCAATTCATTTCCTTTTGAAATCGAACTGAATGAGACTGCGTTCACACCTAGTACCTCACTTCCCTACATTCCCCCTTTTAAAAAATACTCTAATGTGTCTAAAAATATATTATTATATCGCCAATCTATTATATTATTGTGTAATCAAATAGCTGAAAATGTTTAAAAATTTTGCAAAGATACGAGTACGAAGAATTGACACCTTTTGTTTTAAAACCTCTAAAGGTATCATAATAACTATCCAACCGTTCTTCCATTTCCATTATATATTCTCGCATGATACGAACTACTACTCTTTAATCTCTTATACTGTTCCAAATGCTAGAAAATCTTCACAGAGACGTTGGAGCAATAAAGAACATATGGGGCTAGCAACTCCACTTCAACAAAGAAAGTGAACAAAGACGAATTGGAATTGACATGAGTTGTGTAGTACGTTGTCCTAAAAGCATTATTTCCACTCTCTCCTTGAATTGAGATGATTTAGGATCCTCAAGCATATAGCTTTAGTGGATTCTCCAAATCTAAATTTTGATTGCAAAAGCACAAATAAAATCTGAAAAATAGGAACCATAACTTTTATGAAATTTGAGTTTGGCGTTTTCAAATTGATATGTAAACTTTGATATAAAGTTTGACGATGACAATTATTTTTTCCAATCAATTTCAACACTTTTTTATAGTTAATAACTATCACATGACGAAAAGACACGATTTTAGGATGAAAAAACATCTATTTGTGTCAAAAACTGCATCCTGTGCATCTTGGCTTGCCATGCTGCACTAGGTAGCACTTTGTCCCACCTTTGCTCGTCGTTATCTTTCCGTTCTATCACCCACTTCAACCAATATTTGAAAAACTTAGGCCATGTTCTCTTTGCTGTTTTCGCGTTTTCTATTTTCGATTTTTCAAAATAACAAAAATGCGTTCTCTTTCTCGTTTTCGAAATTGAATTTTTGAAAACATAAAAATAATTTCTACTAAAAACTCAAAAAGGCTAAAAAGCCGTTTTGAGCGTTTTCTTCCAAAAGAGGTGACTAAATGAAAACACGAGAAACAACCTCGTTTTCTTCCTCTTGAGCAACCGATCGCTACCGATCTTCTATCAATAACTTCCACCGCACGCCACCTAAGCAGCCGGACCTCCGCACCACTGGCACCCCCTCATCTCCCTCTACAACCTCCGACCATCGCCTACCCGCCGGAAACAACTCCAATTCCCATCCAAAATAGTGAGCACAGTCACGGTTTCTCCCCAGTTATTTCCACATCCGGCCACCCTATAGATCGTGGAGCACCACCACAACATTTCTCTCAATTAGGCGCATCTAGTTCTACCATGGGTCAGCCTCAATTTAGTCCGGAATCGGCTGCGCTTGTTGGAGCAGTCCGTGAGGTTTGTGAAATTCTTTTTGACCTTAAATTCTTTTTAGGCGTGTGGTTACCTAGAACTCTTTGGTCATTGGGGACGTGTATTGATGAAGTTTGTGATCAATTTAAGTGGTGATTTCCTCATTTATAACTGGCGGCTTTGATGAAGTGCATTGTTTCTCATAAATCCTTGAATTTATAACTGGCGGTTTTGATGAAGTGCATTGTTTCTCATAAATCCTTGGGTGTTGGACTATCGCAATGGTTTGATCATTACAAGTTATTCCTGTATGCTAAACAAAATCTTGAAATGACATTTTTATTTACTCAGTGAAGGGGGCTGATAGAAGAATGCCCTCTTCGAGTTCGACTAGAAAAGTGAAAAGGAAATGGAAAAGTAGAGAGGAGAGGTGGATTGACAAGGAGTATGATGTGGTGTTGGTGACATCAGATGGGGATTGACAAGGAGTATGATGTGGTGTTGGTGCTTTTGTGGTTTGCACTAACTGGTTATTAGCTTATATTATATTGGTGTTACCTTGCTGATTCTTGCATCAGTATTCTGTTTACTTCTATATGTATGAGTTATTGCTCCGTGATTGTATAAGATATTACTTCTCCTGTTAGTTTATTAGAAAAATTAGAAATTGCTACATTCTTATTTTAATCAATGGCTTCCGTCTGTGTTTCAAGATTGTGTTTTTACGGTTCCCCAAGTCCGCTATTCTGAACGTAAGATCGATCAATCGGCATTTTTGTCTTTGTAAAAGCTGCGTGGCTTCTTATCTGCTTTTTTATTTAATAAATGTGATTGAATGTCTTGCTTGTTGCAATTTATGAAGTGCATGAGTTGCAATTTACCCTCAACATCTGTATGCTTATATGATCAGTATATACATACTGGTTGCAGATTGGTTTTTTTGGATTCATTTCCACAGATCAACTTGACAACTGGAGGATGAGGTTGAGGCATTATTTTCTGGTGTTGTTTCTTGCTTGTTCAATTGTGTGATCACCATCATATTGGATTCATCTGTGCCTCCATGGAAGCCGGTATCTGCTGCATTGGAATAGTCATTTTCCTTAGAAACAAACTCCTCATGGCTAAGTTTAATGATTCACTTCGGAAAGTCCAAGGTGTGGACCCTGTAAGTTCAGTATCACGTCTTCTGGCTTGTATCCTAATCTCATTTTGAGGCATGAAGTCGGAATTGATTAATCACCTTTTTTTTTTTCTTGAATTGACAATGTTCTTGATACTTTTCAGGCAGGTTGTTATCTCCTATCATTGGACAATTGAGTGAGAAATACCCTCATGTCACCACATAAAAATTGACATAGATAAGGTAAGTAAAACTTTCGGTCTTTGAGTAGTGTTTCTGAGAATTGGCCTACTTCCCTTGGTAACTATAAACTGCTGAAAATATGCAGGAAGGGCTTGGAAATGCTTTAAGCAAGTTGAATATCCATTCCGTGGTAATGCTACTTTCTTGTTGTTATGTTTGAGTATTATACATGCATGTCGACACTCACCCCCTTCACCTTGTGTAAGGCCAAAAACCCATTTTCTTTTCTTCCCCCTGCCCACCTGTGGATATAAAACCCATTATTGTAACTCTAATACGTCAATAAGTCGAGGGGGAACCATATGAAGAATAAATTAAGAGTGTGGTGATATAGGCTGTTGAGATGTGACCTAAGAAAACCTATAGTAACTTGGAAATGGCAGAGTTAGATCAAAATTAATTCGGCCGCTACAGATTTGACTTCGTTGGATCTTTCTCTAGATGTAGTGATGTATCAAATATTAAAGGATCTTTATCACACGATTAACTATGTTTCACTATTGTGTTTTCCTTGGATGCAGCCTACTCTACACTTCTTTCATTACGGTAAAAAGGCCTCGGAAGTTATTGGTGCCGATGTTGAACGTTTGAGGGATACCATGGAAGCACTCTACAAATGAATCGCGCTTTAATACATGTTTTATGCCTTAGCTGCAAACAAATTTTGTTATTCTAGTTCCTGCAATTTCAGTGACTTGGTGTTCTAACTTCTAATTTAAGTTGTATTTACTGAAAATTAACTGTATAAATATTTTAAGTGACTCGCACTCAAAATCAAGTTCATTCAATTTGCATAGTACTTATCTAACTAACATTGTGATACTCAAAATCAAGTTCATTCCAAAATATACGGGAGTCAGGTCAAGAATAAGAAGTCATACATTTTGATACTAGTCAAACAGCTCAAATGTGACAAGTTAGAAATCAAATTACTACACACATGTGGAATGACTACTCAAAACGTTGTACATGACTCCGTGAATTTATTTTGTATGTTGTTCAGTATCTAATTATTTTGTCATGACACGTAAACTTCTAATCGTATCGATTGAACTGTTTTATCAAATGTAATTTAAGTTGTGCTTTTAATATATGGGAAAAACACATTTTTTTGAATAATCAGATTTTTTGAATAATATATTATTAAAAAAATTCTCAAAATTTCAAAGTAAATGCGTTTTTCATTTTTATGTTTTCGAAAACGATTTTTTCAGAATGGCAAAAAGAACGCATTTTCAGAAATTTGAAAATAGACACTCAAAACACAAAACACAAAACGAATTTAAAACTCAAAACTGAAACACGAAGAGAACAACCCCTTATTGTTCAATGCGAAACATTAACTTATTCCATTTAAAGTGAACATTCTTACACGTTAGTCACTTACATAAATGGTGTACATAGTTCTTGAAATGAAACACGTTATTTCCAACCACCCCCTCACATATATGTAATGAAGGCTATCAATAAAGCCTTTTCATCTTAGTGCAATTTGTTAATTTGACAAAGATAAAGTTTACATTTTATATAGTACAAGGTACATTTGGTTTGTTCCTCTCGACGGTTTCGCTGTAGGGGTGGTTTGGGTGGGTTTTTGGTTTGTTTTTCCTCGTTTCCCTCTTTCTTCTGTGCCTTTGTTCGTGGTTTCCTTGGGGGGCAGGAGCTTCGACTCCCCCCTCTTTTTCCTTCATCCCCTTTCTGTTTTTCCTGTTTTCTTGTAGTTGGGGTCGTGGTTTGTGGTGGTGGCCGGCGTTTTGTGGGGTGGGGTTTCTGCCTGAGTTTCGGTATGCTTGCACTTGCTGGTTTCTCGTCAGTCCGGATGGATGGGCTGGAGGCTGCAGGGGGAGTGGCGCTGTTGTTCTTGTAGGTGGATTTCTCCAATTTTTGGCCGGAGTTTGGGTTTGCGGTGGGTGGATTTGGGTGGTGTTATTGATTTGCGTTTGCTTGTTGTTGGCGGAGGGATGGTTGGTTGGTTTTGTTGATTTTTGCTGTTTCTTGGGTGGTCGATGGGCGGTGTTGGTGTGGCATTAATAATGGTTTGGAGGTTGTGGCGAGGGATGAGGAGGTGGATTGTGGAATGGCAGTGGATGCGGGGCAGCCTTGCGCGGCCTCTTGATTAACTGCTTGTCACAGGTGTGGGCTTGGGATCCCTTGGTTTTTTTGGATGCGTCACTGGTTTGGTTTATGCAAAGTTCCCATTTTTTGTGTTGTATATGGTTGTGTGGTTTTCGGTCTCTTTGTTCTGGTTGTTGCCACGGTGGTGTGATTTCGTTGTCGGCTGGGCAGTGGTGGTTTGAGTGGTGCTTCTCCGGTTTCTTTTGGTTCTTCAATCACCGGTTTGGTGAAGGGCTTTCTAAGTATTCATGATTGATGAAGAGCTGGTTTCTGGATGTTGTAGCATCTGTTCTGGGTATTGGGGATGGTTCTGGATTGTGTTGTTTTGTATTGTATTTTCTTGTTTTTAGGTGTTTGTGTTTTTTTTCTTTGTTATGTTGGTCGTGTTTGGCCATCGTAATAGCTTGGGTTTTGGCCTTGGTAGCACTTAATCCTGCTTCGGAGGGCATTGTGTTGGAGGTCTTTCCTCATTGTACCGTTTGCTATTATGGTGATCTATGAAACTTGTTTCATCTTTAAAAAAAAAAAGAAAAAAAAAGGTACATTTGACCATGAGGAAAATTTCGTGAAGTTTGTTAAAGTTAATTGGTGGATGAAAATCTTTATTTCTAGCCAATAAAAGTGAGTCAAGTGTTGAACCGATTTATTTATTTATTTTTTACGATTGGTTGTGCCAATTAATTAAAAATTAAGTTATACTAATTCGTAAAATTTATTTTTCTCGAATTAAATAAAAATAAATTATTAAACAATAAATTCCTTCGCTAAATGGAGCAAATACAAGAAATTTCACCTTATAACTTATGTTACATTCAAGTATAGCAAATATGAATGTATAAAGATGACAAATGGAGAATTGGAGGATTTGAGTTGAGTTTCTATAACAACATAATTAAAGAATCGAGTAATTTCTGATTCTTGGATTTGAGTTAAACGTATTTTAGTATATACTGGAACCCAAATGGAGCCACAATTTTGTTTGGACTCTTCTGATTGACTAATCTAATTATATGTAAGAAGATGGAATAAATTACTTGTGGGAAGGGTATATGCACCACAAAATGCACTAAAATCTTCCGTGGCTTCATCACCGCATGTATTTCCCTCGTCCACACGAAATTCAAAGGGACACTTTGTATATCATCTGTTATTTTATTTTTTACATTATTAACAACTAACATAAAATTGTATACTAATTCGTAATTACAACTATTCGTGAGTCGATTAGAATTTACAATTAATTGGAAGAGAAGAAAATTTAAAGAATTATTGAAATACAAATTATTTTAAAATTAAAAAGATATTTTATTATTTATTATTTATTTTCAGTAAAATGTATTCTCTAACATCTCAGTACACTTGCTTCTTCTTCCTTGACGGAACTGAGATAGAGGTGTTAGAGAAATTCTCTCTCTCTCACATACATAATCATATAAATCAGTAAATCACACACTTAGGAACGGACGGAAAAAAGGGAAAAAATGGATTTAGCCTTAAAGCTTCAATTGATAGACCTCCGGTCCAGTTTCCTCACCGGAACCGCCCCTATTTCCCATTCCTTCCTCGCCTCCGTCCACCCCTTCAACCGCTCTATCACCAACACCTTCTCCTCCCTCAAAAATCCCTACCCTACACCTTTCTCGAAATTCCAACCTCGAATTTCCTGTAAATTACACGCCGTTGCCACTGTGACTTCGTCCTCCACCACCACCCTTGAAGAAGACATAGAATCCCTGTTTTCGGATAATAATAATTCGGAATCATCGGAAGTGAATTACAAGCGTTTGAACAACAAGAACTCGACCGGGGCATCGAGTATTTCTTCTGGAGTTAGATTAGAAAACATTAGCAAAAGCTATAAGGGTGTCACTGTATTGAAAAACGTTAGCTGGGAAGTGAAAAAGGGCGAAAAGGTCGGGTTAGTAGGTGTAAATGGTGCTGGAAAAACAACCCAGTTGAGAATTATATCTGGTTTGGAAGAACCGGATTCGGGTAATGTAATTAAAGTGAAGAATAATATGAAAGTTGCATTTTTGAGCCAAGAATTTGAGGTTTTGTCGACCAGAACAGTGAAAGAAGAATTCTTGAGCGCATTTGAAGAGGAAATGGACGTGGCTGAGAGACTTGAGAAGGTGCAAAAGGCAATTGAGAAATCAGTGGATGATTTGGAGTTGATGGGGAGGCTTTTAGATGAGTTTGATTTGTTACAGAGGAGGGCTCAGGCCGCTGACTTGAATGAGGTGGATGTTAAGATCAGTAAGTTGATGCCACAACTTGGATTCGCCCCTGAGGACGTGGATAGGCTCGTGGCTTCATTTAGTGGTGGGTGGCAGATGAGGATGTCCCTGGGGAGGATCTTGTTGCAGGTAAAAAAATTGTTAATATGCGAGTATTTGAGTTCTTTTACAGGATTATGAAGTATGATCTTCTGTATTATTTGTATAACGCAGATTTGATCGTAATTGTCTCTTCTAAAGAGATTCATAGTACAATGCGACTCACTAAATAATTTTACTGATAGGATATGATATAAAACTGAGTGTAATTTATGAGATAACTAGTTGTTGCTTCACTAAATGGCTTAATGAATATTCCTAGAATGTATGGTTTGGAAATAATCTACTCGGGAAGAATGTTAGTTGCTAGTAAATTCTGCAGGACCATTTGCTAAATGGTGATTCTTGGTTGGTTCATCATTTTCACTTATCTAGGCATGGTTATGTTACTTTTGCAATTTTGAATACCGAGTTTCATTGGATGATCAAAATTTAACACAGTTACAAGATTGGCGGATGTTGTATGTGATAATTTCCAGGATCCTGATTTGTTACTTCTGGATGAGCCCACAAATCACCTTGATCTTGATACGATAGAATGGCTTGAGGGTTATCTGAGTAAGCAAGATGTGCCAATGGTCATCATATCTCATGACAGGGCATTTCTTGACCAGCTGTGTACAAAAATTGTGGAAACCGATGTTGGCGTTTCCAGGACATACGAGGGAAATTACTCTGAATATGTGATTGCAAAAGCAACGTGGGTAGAATCTCAGTTTGCAGCATGGGACAAGCAACAGAAGGAAATTGAACAGACAAAAGATTTAATAAGTAGGTTGAGTGCTGGAGCAAATTCTGGCGGTGCATCTACTGCTGAAAAGGTACATGTAGATCAAATTAATTATCTTGAGCGACTAATCTGCAACTGGGATAGTTTGTTTAACTGAGCACACTATATTATATCGATACGACGATATTTCTGCAGATATGGATTACTATAGTGCATGGTATCATTTATTCTGCATATTTCCTTTTTTTTTTTCACTTGGAAATCTTGCGACAACAGAAGCTGGAAAAACTGCAAGATGATGAACAGGTCGAGAAACCCTTTATTAGGAAGCAAATGAAGATCAGGTTCCCTGAGCGTGGAAGAAGTGGCCAATCTGTTGTGGTGGTAAAGAATCTGGAATTTGGTTATGAGGACCAGGTAATTGACAAGTTCAACCAATTGGTGCAAAAATCATAGGAGCAGGATTATGTTTGTCCTAAATATTTTGATTTAAAATTATCAAAAACAATTCCAAGTTGATATTGGTATTAGGATAATTTTCTTCAATGCCCAGTAAATTTTTCGTTTTAGGATGCAAAAATGTAAAGATCTGTATTATGCTGAAGCTGTTGAGAAGCTTCAGTGCATGGTTTAGGTCCAATAATTTAAGAGGAAAAAGAGAAGTGATTCTCCACACGCTAATAGAACTAAGCTTGTAATTTCCTTTATGTTAACCAACCATTGGTTTGCAAAACAATGAAGCATTGACAAAACAGTGCAAAAGAAAAGCTAGAATCGGCATTTCTACAGTATTCTCATGATTATGTATTTTTTCTATCCAGGTTCTATTTAGAAACGCAAATTTGACAATTACAAGGGGGGAGAAAATAGCCATTCTTGGTCCTAACGGGTGCGGGAAAAGTACGTTGCTTAAACTGATTATGGGCTTAGAGAAGCAAAGCAGGGGTGAAGTGTTGCTTGGGGAACATAATGTATTGCCAAATTATTTTGAGCAGAATCAGGTTTGTTATACTTGTTACAGGTTTCCTTGCAATCCTTTCATATTATGATGTTCGGTTCTCATGTTAGTTGGAATTATCTGAATATGTGAATCTTTCATTGGTCTCCTCTGTCTCAGTTTGCCGTTTCATAGACCAAAGGTTTTTTATTCCTTTCTTTTTTAATTGAAAATTCTCTGTTTTGTTTTTTTCAGGCTGAGGCACTTGATTTAAATAAAACAGTACTGGAAACAGTTGCGGAAGTTGCAGAGGACTGGAGACTGGATGATATTAAGGGGCTTCTAGGCCGTTGTAATTTCAAGGTCGATATGCTTGACAGAAAAGTTTCCTTCCTAAGTGGTGGTGAGAAGGTAAATGCTGATGGAATCTCGTAGTTATTTCTTGGAATTTTCTTTTTTCAGATTTTGGCGATTAGATTTTTTTAGTATTTTATTTCTTATTTTTTGTGTGTGTGTTTTTTGATTCCGATGTCCACCACTAGACAACCCTAGTGTTTTTCTTTCTCACTTTGTAATATTTGTATTTTTTATTTAGTGAAATGTTTCATAGTGTATTAATCTGGAATTAAGATGCAGTGTATGAATTATTGTACATTTATTCCTATGTATTTGTGAAAAGCAGAGAATTATATCACCTATTAATTTGGGAACCGTGGTTTTACTAGATATGAAGCTTTTAGTTTACTATTGTTTTTTCGCGTGAAGAAAATCATCTTGTAATTCACAAAACTTCCCATTCATTAAATCTGTTTTACGTTTTATATCTTGCAATAACTTAGTTTTTCTATTATGGAATTAGTCATTATCGAAAAATTAACATTTCCATTGGTTCAGGCTCGACTTGCATTTTGCAAGTTCATGGTCAAACCTTCAACTTTGCTTGTTTTGGACGAGCCAACCAATCATTTGGATATACCTTCAAAAGAGATGCTTGAGGTTCGGGATTTTTTCCATTCTTTCCCTGTTCTACAGTTGTTACCCTTGTCTCATATTGTTTTTACTTTATTTTACCTTTCTTTTCTCCCTTGATTTGTTCTATTCGTCACATTAGGAGGCAATAAATGAGTACAAGGGCACTGTTATTACAGTTTCTCATGACCGATACTTTATAAAGCAAATTGTTAACCGGGTATTGGAAGTGAAAGATGGGAATCTACGGGACTATGCCGGAGATTACAATGTAAGTATAGGCCCTCCCAGTTAAAATACTATTTTTGCAAGTTTTTCCCCATGTGCCATCACATTTTTATTTCGATTCCCGTCATTTTACAACATTTAATAATTTTCAGAACGAACTCGTTCGCTAATTGTTATATTCATAAGAACGAAAACATGAGAAAGTAAAATTAATTGGTAAAAGGAAAAGAACTGTACGGAATAAGTTTGTTTTACATTTCTCGTGTAGGCTATAAGAGAGTTGTTTTTCATTTTGATTTATGATCATACGCTTGTGTGCATGAATATTCAGTCTATTTGTGAATTCTGATAATATGAAAATTTTGAGCATCACAGTATTATTTAGAGAAGAACCTTGAAGCAAGGGAGAAGGAACTTGAAAGGGAGGCAGAGCTTGAGGAGAAGTCTCCAAAATCAAAAGCTAAATCCAAGATGTCCAAGGTAAATGGCCCTTACACTTGTTTTTTGCTTATACTGCACATTTTCGACTCGGTATCAAAAAGATTGGACTGTATTAAATGAGAAAAGAAGTTAAAATTTTGTTCACAAGTCTGTCAAGTTTTTCAAGAAAATATTTAACAAGAAGGTACTTTTGTTATCATTTACTAGGCGGAGAAGGAAGCTCGGAAGAAACAGAAAATGCAGGCGTTTCAAGCAGCAAAACAGAAGTCAAAAGGACTGAAGAATGCTAAAAGATGGAAGTGAAACATTTTACGAAGCTCTCTTCTGGTTTATCATTCTTCATAAAAATCCCAGAAAAGGTGGCTATTTATGTGTTGTGGTGTCAAAGTTGGTCAAGCCCCTCGGCGGTTATATCATGTGGCTACCTTTTCATTGTATATAATATGAATACAAATAGTTGACCAGGTTTAGAAATCATTGAACTTACAGAGCAGTTCATTTTATGCTCTGAAGGGATAATGGTGATGCAATTTGGCAAATATCATGTGATGATATGTTAGAATGAATTTTTTTCTATTTATATGAATTAATATCAGATTTTTACTGTTTTTGATCAAAAAAAATGTTTTATATTATGTTGAATTTGATTTAACCAAGGATGATAAACATATGTCGATTATCGTCTTCCCTAATTTAGTTCACAACGTACATACGATGAGTAATGTTGTAAAAAGAAAAGAAAAAAAAAAGCATTATTGGCCAGTCTGACCAAAAAATTGGGAAATATGCCCGAAAAACGAGCATGGTTAAGGTGTTTATAAACAATTTAAATTATTAAATTATAGAATATAAAAAATGAGTGGTGAATCAGTTGGTATTGATAGTACTAGTGAATCTCTCGAAATGTGTAGATAAAAGTGCGCATATGTATGTATAACTCATTATATTTACCTCTTATTGACGTTTTGATATGCGAGTCGAATTCTTGAGTTTAAATACATTGAAGGAAACGTTTTTAACTCAATTATTGTTGAAGATTTGACAAAAATTCAAATTGCATATCCATTAATATAAAAAGCAAACAGAAACCTGCTCCTATCCTATGTGTGTAACATGTAATTTAGAACAAAGTTTAAGCAATGCTATTCATATTGAATGACAACAGCCTCCCTTTTTCTTGATACGAGTGAGAGCAGTTCTAAATAAATGGCAAATTTATTAATTTGATTTATATATAAAAAATGTAAATTTTTATATAAAATAAGAGTAGATGAAGTTGTAACAACTATGGTATAGTCGTATAGACATAAATTTCTACACAACTTGGAACAATTTTTAATCATAGTCCTAGTATACATTAAATTCTTATAAATCAATTATAGTTGTTTACTTCTACACAAGTTTAGGCCTAGCATGATTGCTCTTACCTTGCACTTGTCGAGCTTTAGGATTGCTATATGCAACAATATAAATACGGCAAATTCAGGTTGCTCAATTATTTGTAGTTCTAAACATAAATAATTACATCACATGAGAGCGCAACTCAAACAAGTCTCATCAACCATGACCAACCAAAATAATTCCTCCACCACTAGCGATATTGCCTTCTACGTCACTATCGTCCCGCCACCACCTCATTCGACTTTTATATTCCGTCCACACTGTCCCATCCCTCAGTCAAAACTCCCACCCTATATTCTTCTTCTCCATTTCCTCCTCCATCTCCATAAATGTTGCTTTTTCAGGTCCCTCTCAAACTAACCAACACAAATGATCCCTTTTGGACGTCTCCAATTTCACACTTTTCTTGTTGGATATGATTTGTTAGACTCTATTGATAGACCATGTCCACTTTCTTTAACTACAATCAAATCCATTTGATGAAACCATTTCAAACCCTGATTTTGCATTCCTGATCTCGGAGGACTGAATGCAATTATTGGTTCTTTATCCCCAACCACATCCCGTTCATAGCCTCATCCATCACGAAATCTGAAATACCCACAATATAATCATGTAAAAACCTTCATGTGGACGTATCATGCAGTTAAAACACAATCTCAACTAAAAGAACCTAAACCATTACCGAATTCCTTCAATCTGTTAAAAAGCAAGGCTAATGAACTTGCCTTAATGAATTCTTCTATTCATGCAAAAGATCTTACCTCAAAAGTCGTGAACGACTTCTTGATGATTACAAAGATATATCCTCTACTCATTGTGCTTATGGAACTCCTATTACCTTTGATGAGCTTCTTGTAAAACTCGATATTTTTGAAGCTCGTCTTGAAAAACTCAAATAGCCCGCCCAGCCAAATACTACATTTATAGCCACATCATAGCCTGACAATCAATCTCCGCGTCCCAATATTTCTAATCTGCCAAACTCCAAATCCATAACAACAACAATCGTAACAAAAGATAGTGATGTCGCTGTCAGATATGCGGGCATTCAGCCCAACGATGCAGACAACTTACTCATCTCCACCTCCTACTAGTCAACAACGCAACAATTTTAAACTCATCCCATAATTCTTGTATAGACAGACCTAATCTTCTATCTTATTTAAGGCTGAGCAAAACTAATCTCCCTCTTTTTTTTATATATTAAATAAGTCAAAAAAATTTAATTTTTTAAATAAATTTGCCAATTAATTAATTGAATCCAAAAATATCATCTTCTTATTTCATTTGCCAACTATAAATAATCCAAATTCAAAATATGATTTTCATACTTCTAATTTTCAGCCCAAACACAATTTAATCAAATTGACCTAAGTTTTTTCAAAATCTCTCATTCATGCCGTTTTTGCCATTATGGAGAAATCGAATTAGAAGCTCGGTTGCGCATCTTTTCATTATTTTCAGCTCGCTACTTCCTCTTTCTAAGATTTTAACAGTTAAATCTATGAATAACTTTAAAAAAAAAAAAGACGCAAAAGATATCACGAGATTGAACCGTTATTTTGTAAGAGTTAAGATTGAATATGTCATTAGTTGAATTAATGTGTTTTTGTAAATATTTAAATTAATTATTGTATGAAACTCGGGAATCAAATTGAACCGAACCAAACCAAACAGAACCGAACCCATTCCATAATCAAATTTGGATCCCGTCGATTCCACTTACTAAATACCCAAAAATTTGGTTTCGGTTCGCTTTTCTTTAGAATCGAACCAAACCATGTCCAACCCTAATCTTATTATCCACCCAATGTTTACTACTCTATTCCTACACTGCAGCCTAGTAAATCTTGGCTTTTCTATTATAGCGTAATTCATCATATTACCACTGACTTGGACAATGAATCTCTCTATTATGCATATTCTGGTGAGGATTCTATGAGGGTTGGCGATGGTAACAAATTTCCTATTACTTATACTGGTTCAGCATCCCTTCCACCTTCCTCCATTTCCTCAAGCTAACCGATAAGCTTTGTGTTCCCTCTAAGCATCAAAATTTGATTTCCATATCTAAATTCTGTGTTCGACATAATCTAATTGTTGAATTTTATGTTTCTTCTTTTCAGGTGAGGGATTATCAAACGAGCATGTCTGCTACCAGGCCCGTCTAAAAACGATGTTTATGAAGGGACTAGTCGTCAATATCAAGTTCTAGACCTCTCGAGGTTATTTTTTCTGAAGCATGGACATCTCATATTCCTTCAACTAACGATAATAAATACTATGTTCTTTTTCATAGACCATTGTATCCATTATATCTGGTTTTTATCTTTTGAAGTGCTAATATGATGTTTCTACCATTTTTCCAGTTTCTAAATCATTGATTTAAAATTATTTTACCACATTCTTCAAAACCCTTTACAGTGATAATGAGATGAGTATATTTTACTGCACTCTTACCTGTCTGGTCATGGTATTACTCATATCACTATTTTGCTTCACATACCTCAACATAATATGTTTGCTGAACGACGCCATCGTTATAATGTAGAAACTAATCTAGCCAATTTTGGACATGCCTTCTCCACAACACGAGTCTATCTCATCAATCTAATGGCCACTCCAGTAACGTCCATCCGTTCTCATTTTTGAAAAACTATTTGGCAAACAACCAAATTATTCCAAACTTCAAGTTTTGGTTGCCTTTTCTAAATATGACTTTGCCCATATACCAACAATAAAATTGAAAATCCATCCCATTCACGCACTTTCCTTGGTTACTCAAGAGTTTTTGTTTGTGCTTTGATATTGAGTCTAAGCACATATTCGCTTCGAGTCATGTTGAATTTGTTGAGTCTATTTCCACTTTTTTACAGGTCAATTCAATACTAGTGAGTGGGATAGCTTTTTAGGTGAATCTCTTTGCTTCCACCAGTTGTACATACAATTCTATTCATCAAAACCTCGGGCCTCTCCTGTAGTAGATATCGACACTCGGGACAATCCCTCATCACGAAATCAAGTTTCAGAGATAAATTCTTTCCAAAAACCATTTTTACTGTAAAGCCATGTCTACGGAGCTCAATACTCCGTTAAGGAATGACACTAGGCAGCAGGGAGGATCCAGGACCGGATTACAGGCCGGGTTAATACGTAAAAAAAAGGGGAAAAATTCATAAATAAGGTGTATACTTTACATTAATTCAAAAATCAGGTTTATAGTTTGAAAATTCAAAAATCAGTTTTATTTTTTATTTTTAATGAAATAATAAATTATTAAATCAATTTATTATTAAATATTTAATTCTAATATAATATAATTAACCCATCCCACATGCACCATCCATACCGCTCCGGGGACTATTTCGGCGACCATTCCGACCACCACTCTTCTCCAGTGACCGTTCCGGCGACTGCTCCGATTCCGGCAATTATTCTGACGTCTATTCCGGTGGCCATTCTGGTCACAGATTTACAATTTACAATCACAGTTAAAAAATTTTATAGGTCACAATTAATTTGTTGGTCACAGATTTCAAAATTAGCTGGTCACAGATCAAAATTTATAAGTCACACAGTCACAGATTTCCAAATTAATTGGTCACAGATTTTTTTACGGTCACAGATTATATAATTTTTAGGTCACAAATAAAAAAATGGTTAATTTCATTGGTCACATATTTTCAAATTTGTTGGTTATAGATTATTTTTCAGTCACATATTGTCAAAGTTTTAGGTCACAGTTAAATACTTGATCACATACCACTGGCACTACTTCAGCCACCATCACCACACAAAACACTGCCACCAAACAAAGCACGACCACCACCCCAACCGTTGATCCACCACCACAGACGTCACCACACAAAACAGCTCAGATCCCACCAGATCCCACGTCG